TCTTGATTGTCTCCTGTACATTTTGGTTGACCCTATCCAGTATCATCTCTATAAAATTCTCATTGAGTACTTGTAGTATGTCTTCTTTTAAATTATTCTTGTAGGCTTCATTGGGTCCTTTGGCATAGTTTATCTTCATTTTGTTGGAGTCTGGCTCTGAGTTTCTGTTCTCTTCATTCCCCTCTGGTTCCTGTACTAATTTTTTGCTGTGGGGAAACTGGTTTCCTTGTTTTTTCTGTCTTCCTGTCATTGTCCTTGGTGTTGTTACTGTCCCTGTACTGTGTGTAATTAAGTATTTTCTAGCTTGTAATAATAACAATGGTAATATTGAGAATGGAAGAGTGAGCTGAGATGGAAAGCAAGAAGTTAAAGAAAAGGGAAAACAAATATACAGACAAGAGGGAGAAAGCAGAACAAGGTATCAGACAAGAGAGTTTCAAAGGTATAAACAGGGAGTGTTAGTGTACTAATCGACAGTAAGCTGAACAGACAATAGAGTGACAGAGAGAGGATTGAAAATCAAAGATAAAAAAAATAAAAATAAGTATATGAAAGTAATATCTATTTATAAAATGAATTAAAATAAAATGGAAAATAGAAAATTAAAAAAAAAAAAAAACCAAAAAACTTCCAAGTTTATATGCAATGCAATTTCAGTCTTAATAATTTGGATGTCCGTCTCAATCTCCAGTCCTGGAGTTGGTGCCTCAGATGTTGTTCTGTAGTTGTCTCATCAAAGGGGATGCATAAAGTAGAACAAAACTACACTCACACACACACAGAGAAAAAAAAAAAAAAAGCCCCACCAAGTGTCCCCAGTTCAAATGCAATACAGTTTCAGTAAGTTTTTCGGCTTGCAGGTGTAATTCGGTTGTTCTCTCATCAAAGGTAGGGAGAAAAGAAAAAAAAGCGTCTGGAGGCAGTTCTGAGAGTGGTATCTGCAACTGTGGCTTGCCTGCCTGCTGCTCTCAGCCTGTAGCTGGCGGCGTTATTTATGCAGATCTCTGGGGTGAGCTTAGCACTCACCTGGTCCCACAGGCTTTGTTTGCTCAGAGTTCTCCTGTGCGGGGGAGGGGGCCTCTGCTACAGGCTTTCCCTTTCCAAGCACTGGGAAAGGTGACACTGCCCGCGTTGTCAGGCCTGCGTGTTTATTTACAGTTCGTGGGAAGTGGGTCTTCCCTCCTCTCACAAGCGTCCCCGCTCCTGGTTGCTGGCGCGCCCCGCTCCCGCCAGAGCCTCTCCGGCCCGCCCGGCTCGTTTATTTACAGTCCCGGGAAGGATTCCCTTCCCCCAATCTTCAGCGCTCAGGGCGCCCCACCCTCTTTCCAGCGTGTCTTAACTGTTCTTATTGCTTAGTACTCAGTTTCTCTTTTTTTCCCGGGTGGAGGTCAGTCTGTCCAGGGGGCTATGCTGCTCTGGCCCAGGCTTGTCTGTGGGGGAACCGCGGTACCGCGAAGCTCACCTGGTCCGCGTCTTCCCAAGCCGTATGGGCGCCGGCCACTGGCGGCCCGGGGGCCTCCTCGGTTCTCCGTTTAACGTGAAGTGGAGATTCTCTGCGCCGGCTGGAGATGTGGAGGAGTCAAAGTTATGCCTTTTCTCGGTGATTATGCCTGCAAAGTGTGTCTCCAACGTCTCTCCAAGATTTCACTATAGGAGGGTCGCTTTCTGCTTCCTACCTCTAGCCACCATCTTGGAATTCTCGAACTTTTTCATTTATAGTTTGAGCTGTGTTGTAGTAACATACTGTAAAAATCACAAGACAGAATAAAGGATTTAAAATGTAGCCTGTATTAAATTTCTAACTTACAGGGCTTGGTTTGCTTTGCTGTTTCACTTTTGTGCTTTTGAGACAGGATCTGGAACTTGCTCTGTAGTCCAGGTTTGCCTCAAGCTTGAGACCCTCTCCCTTTGCCCTCCTGAATGGTGGGAGGCATACGCCACCACTCGACTTACTTTGCTCTGTTTGCTTTATTTCTCAGGGAAGGCCTGACAGCTTTGGCTTTCACTCTTCTTGGTTGTGTTGAGCGTATTTTTCATCTTTTCTATTAGCTATTGCGTATGAGGATCTGTCAGTCTTTTTTAGTTGTGCTTTGTGCAACTACTTTTTCTTTTAAAAATTATCTAAAGTTCTATTATGCTTGTTCTACCATGGTGGCCATACTAGCAAGATTTTATACTAGAGCACAAATGATTATAGCAGAACCACCATGTCTGCTGGAATTGCATACTCAGAATTAGTTTATAGAGATTCTAGTCATCCTTTTCCACAGTTAAAAATGCCCCCTGGTAGGAGTCTGCTTTAAATCTGTTGACAGGCTTCTGTCTTTATTCCAGTAGATGTCCTGTTTATTGATAGTAAGAAAAGATCCAGTCTTGCACTTCCTTCTGATACCCTGCTGAAGTCTGACTTCCTGATGCCCTCTGACCTCCCTTCACTTGTACCATCTGGATCACTCCTTAGGCCATGGGAAAGATGACGAAGTGAGACGATCCGGCTGAAGTCACAGTCCTGCTGCAGTGTTGCACAAGGATCCAGTGTGGGGTTGGCAGTAGGCAGGTGTGAATTTACAGCCCACTCTGTGACCTCCCTGACCTGGCTCCTGGGGGATTAATGAGGGAATCATGTGAAAAGCTGGGCATAGGGGCTGGCTCATAGAATGTGCTCAGTGAATTATTTGCTGAGTGATGAATCCGTGAGTTAATAATAACTGTCCTTCTGTCAGCCTTACAACAATTCTTATATTAACATTCAAAGTTGATGCCTGTCATTCAGTTCCTTCCATTCACAAGTTACAGAGTCCAAATGAGATTGACTTAGGCAAACAAGGGCCCAGAGGCAGTGGAAAGAGAAGAACTTAACACCATTCCCAGAACATGACATGGTGTTTCCGCCTTTGCTTCACCTTGCTCCCTCCCTCGCTGGCTGAGTACTCCCTTAAATTACTAATTATTGCTTTCATGTTTTACAAATAACCAAAGTTGGTGCCTGTACCTTTCCATTCACAAGGTACAGGTCCAACTCAGACTGACTTAGACAGACCAGGGCTCTGGGCTCATAGAACTAGCAATCCCAGGGGAAGAGCACAGCCAGATTTGAGGCTAGGGCTCCAGACTGGCTGAGCTTGCCTTTCTGCTATGCCAGCTTCATCCTCAAGCAGACTCGTCTTTTGCCATGGCAAAGCTGGCTGCCCTCAGGAGGCTGCAGCTTCAGTCTACTAGGCTGGCAACTCCAGCAGAACAGGACTGTTTCCTGAGGTCCCTGAAGGGGACTTCCTTCTGCACAAGAGAGAGAGGTGACTAAGGTCACCTGCCTAAACCTGAGCTTGAAAATGAGGAAGGGGACGTTCTACTGGGGAAAGAACCAGAAACATCAGGCAAGACAGAGCAAAATATTGTGCATGCTACAACAGCATGTTGTACAGGAGGAAGGCAGTATACATCACGTAAGTGTGCATGGCTGTGCACACACACATACATATATAGTACTTGCCCTCACTGAGCATGTCTGGTTGGGAATCTAGATTGAAATCTTGTTAGAAAATACATCCATGCATTTGTACATATATAAATATTACGATCCTTGAGATAAGGATGATTATAAAAATGTTTTAGCTCCCAGTAGTACCTTAAATATATAGGAACTTATTTCATGTGAATAGGCTCTTCACAAGAATTTAGCTTCCTACAAGACTCACCACTGTGCATATAGTCCTAGGTTAGAAAAATACTTTTCACACAATTCTAAAGTTTTTCCTGGATGACTAAATCAACGACTAACTTTATTAAACATGAATTGTATGAGGGTGTGTGGACTTTTTTTTTTTAGTGGTGGGATGGAACCCAGGGCCTGTGCATACCAAGCATGTGTTCTAGAGCTACACCCTGAGCCCCTGATGGCTTTTTTTGAAGACTGGAATTAGGACAGTGATTATGCCTCAGAGTCTTGTTTCCAAGCAGTCTCAGCTCACAGACAGGGATGTAAGGCTACCATCCCAGTCCAGACTAGCTCTTCAGTGTACATTTCCTGGGAAGGACAGAGTCCCTCTTGCAGCAGACCTACCAGCAGTGCCCAGCTGAGAAAATAACCAGGACTGGCTAGAAAATGAACAGGCCAAGTGAAAGCTGGTGTGGTGCCACATTCTTCCTCCTTGTGCCTTTTGCTTCCACACACACACACTGCTTGGCAGATGGGAAGGGCTGGGTGGATAAATGAGGCTGGCCCTCAGCTGACTGCAAGTTGGCTGGTGGATATGGAGGCTTCATTACATGCTTTAAAAAACTTTTTTTTAAGGATTTCCCTTCTTTATTTCTCTCCGAGTTTAAATATGAAAAACTAGTGTTGGAGGTCCCCTGGAGTCCCAGGTCTTCCATCACTACTGCATGTTGCTTCTCTTTGGTAACCAGGGGTCCTGAGGACAGGGTGGTTGAACTTGGCTTTGGTGCCTTGTGCTCTGCACACAGCACGGTGCTTAGCAAGGGAGTGAATGAAGAGCAATGGTCTGTGAGGTGCCGGTGTTCTGGTGTAGGTTACCAAGGGCCACTGTGTGCCAGGCCCGTGCTTGTTGCTCCCCATGGCTTGTCTCACTGGATTCTCCTGTAGGCAGGTATTAGTATCCCCATATAGAAGGGGAGGCTCAGAGAAGTTGTGTTACTTTTCCGGCTCACATAGTGAGGGGATAACTGCTTCTGAGCACTGCCCAAGTGTGTTGCTCACTCTGTTTTTTCTGCACATTGTCAGTGAGACCATGTTTTCTAGGGGGTCCAACTTCAGAATAGCTGTGGGCATAGTCAGGACAATGACCTTAAAATGTTTTTGTGTATTTTGTTGTTTTTTATTAGAAATGCCTTTATTTTGAACATTAACTCCCTCTTTTATGTATGCTAATAAAGGGTTAACATAAACACGTAATGCATTCATTGGACAAAGTTTCCCTAGAATGTTGACTTGTTTGTCCCTTTGAGAGCAAAGCCACTGAGATAGCTCTCGACTCTTCATCTAGTACGTGCTGCGCTGTGACATGAGGCGGTCTCTGTTGGCCAAGGACTTGACCAAGACCTGTGAATTCATCGTTCACTCTGTGGTAAGCTTTGCCTTGGGAACTCTGGGCTCTCCGGTGGGGTCTGTGGTCATGCCCAGATTACAAGGTATTAAGATGCTGCATAGTTTCTCATGGGTACCGGCCAAAGACTTCAGATGCCTGCTCAGAGACAGTGGCATCATGAGGCCTCATTCCTGTGGCCCAAGGTCCCATGGGGGCCAGTGGACACCCACCCGCAAGGTTTGTGACTCACCTGAGAACTCTGCACTTTTACAACAGGCAGTAAACAGGCCTACCCTGTGTCCTGGAGTGGGACATCACCTCAGCCCTTGAGGTTACCATGACAAACACAATTTGGAAACATGGCCCTCATGAAGAATGGTCAGGGTCTTGTGTCCCTGGTCCTCCTGCCCAGGGAGAACAGGGGCCTCAGGGCTGCAGTGGCTGGCCTGTCCTCACACCTGCTGAAATGTTACAGCAACAGATGTCCTTTAAAAGCCTTTCCCATGCCAGCTCAAGTAGTTGGTCCCTGCCCACCACCACTGTAGTTGCCTGGGGAGTTTGTGGTGGTGTCTTCCACAGCTCACCTCGTGCTTTTCCTTGGTTATTCAGAATCAGCAGTGTCTGTCAGATCCTGCTCTGGATGTGATACATGGTGACAGATACTCTTGCTTCCAGTGCTGGGTCTCTTGGTTTTCTCTCAGGCCTCATTGGGTCCTGTTGCACGGAGAGAGCCACACCTTGACCTTCCCTTCTCCTGGTGCTCACACCTCCAGGCAAGGGCCCCTTCTTCCGTCTCATCCTGGCACCTGCCGTAGCCCAGTTCCCTCCCTCTGTGCATGTGAGCACCTCAGAACAGAGTTAGCAGAATGCTGGAGTTGCACCACTCTGAGGCCTGAGAATTGTCGTAGAGTGGGCAGTACAGCTGGGGCTGTCTTGGGACCCTCCTGAGGCCTTCATCAAGCTGGAGATGCCCTGCTTCATGAGCTCTGGGTAGGCTGCAGCCACTGCCCCAACTCAAGGGCAGCGGCACCACCTGTGTTCTTGGCTGGGCTACTCAGGTTAGGGCACCACTGCCACTGTGTACTGAGCAAAGCATTGCATATGCCGGTCTTTCCCACATGCCTCAGTGAACAGAGCATGACAGTATGTCTTGTGAGGCAGTTTGGCTTTTCAGGAATATTTTCACTTGTATTTCTGTTACACTGTTAGGAAATGTCTTTGGAATCCTTTAAGCAGTAATAAGTAAAAATGCAAGACTTACGTCTTCTGGGTATGTGTTAATTTCAGTAGTTACAATGAATGTAACTATTCATTAGACCTTCATTTTTGAGACTTTTTAGGACTTCTAACATTTATAGTTTCCCTCTCATTAGGTTTTTAATAGTCACAGTGTCTCTCTTGGTGATTAAACTGTGTAATACAAATATATATAAAATAGAATCAAAATATTTCTTTTCTCTTTGGAAGTTTCATGGTTTAGATGGATATTTTCCCTTTCTCCATCCATGGTCTTCAAATTGAAGCAAGAATAAATTTTTAAAAGTTGATTTTTTTCCTTAAAAGGACACATAGTCTTTTTATGTTCTAAATACAAAAAAAAAAAAAAAAAGGCCTTAAATTTTATGAAGGAACATTAGCCTAAACTCAGCACCTGCCACCAAGTTAGGCCTCCTTGCAAACCCTTGTGACACAGAGCTCCTGTCCCTCCATAGGATGCTCTCTGAGGCTTCCGTCTTTCTGCACAGCAGTCTGTCACCATGTAGCCTTCAGGGGACTGTGTTCATGGTTCACAAAATGGCTGTAGCATGCTGTAGCCTATAGTCTACAAGTTACATTCTATGTTAAATGCTGTGTGGAAGAATATTTTCACTAAAGAATGTATTTATGAGCCTATTAAGTTAAAGGGTATATTCCAAAAGAGAAGTCCTTGGAAATAAGCCTTTGGAAGGTGAGTAAACTTGGCACATTGGTCATGCCTTTGATTCTCCTGGATCCCTGGGTCTTGCTGACCTTCCAGATCCTAGACTTTGGGTACAAACTGCCAGGCAGGCTCTAGTGATGCTTGGCTATGTGGATGGATTCAGGAATTATGTAATGTGGAAGTGATCACTTACTTAATTTGGGTGGCATGTCTAATTCATTGTGTAGTTCTGGTTCTTCTAGGTAGACAGAGCTCAGTAGTAGTGCCTAACAGCACTGGTCAGACTGTTTAGGCTTAACTCTCACGCATGCCCATTAGTGAGCCAGCCCCTGAGCTCTGTGTGTCTCCTTGTCCTCGTGAAATATGACGGAGGTATGACCAGCTCCTTACAGTTCATCATGCTGACTAAGCAGCATGCAGTAGACACTGTGTCAGCTCTTGTTCTAAGAAAGATGTAAAACAAACATCTCCCAGTAATTCTGCTCTATTCCTTAGCTCTGATTTTAAAATTCTGAATCCATAAAGTCCCTTGGAGATTTAGATGTCTGAATTCTCATTGTACAGTTGAGGAAACTGTAGAAGTTTGACAAAGAGCATAGCCCAAGTCTCTTACCTTCTGGTGCTAAGTCCCTTCTAGTTCCTTGTGTTGACATTCAGTTGATTAAAGTGGGGCAGCCATTCGACCTGCAGATCCCAGACACTCACCATACTGCCTGTGGTTTTACCTCTCATTTTAGCCTCAGAAGGGGAAGTTGACTCCGAGTCCTGTGGACTTCACGATCACGCCGGAAACCTTGCAGAATGTCAAAGAGGTATCACAGGCCTCGCACTCACCTGATGGGTTTTCCTGGTAACTCGACCCCAGGACCAACCACTGCCCAGTTCTTTAGTTGGGAATTGGGTCATCAATTGCTGTCTGTATGTTAATGTTCCTTACGTGCTTATGAGTGTGTTTGTTTTGTGGGGAAGGCGTGATATTCCTGCCTCAGCCTCCCAAGTGCTGGGACTACAGGAATGCGCCAATGTGCCTGGCTTCTACATGACTTTTTAACTGTCTTGCCTGTTTTCTTGCGTGGTGGGCCCCAAGCTCCAGCCTGCCTCCATGGCTGCCCTCTATTTCTTGTAGGAGCCACAGGCAACACTTGGGCCGCCCAACTGACCTCTTGTCATCCTCTACTGATGCATATTGCTGAGTCTCCCACTGGCATTCCCACTGACAGCGCAGTCAGCAAAGTGCTTTTTAAAGATTCCAACAGTTTGCCTCAGTGGTGGTTTCCTCATGGCAGGGGTAGATACAGTAAGGACCCAGAAGCCTAGGCAGTGTGACCCCAGCCACCCTGCATCTGGACCGGGGCTGTGCAGCTCTCTGTGGCAGCCTCAGGCTGGCCTCTGTTGGCTGTGGGGCTGCAGGCTGCGTTGTACCCACAGCAGTTCCTCTGGCTGTGTCCACTCTGTGCATGCTCCTCCGTTGCCATGAATTCACATATCTTTTTTTCTTTGATGATACCATAGTATATTTCTACAGATCTTTCTAGATGAACCTTTCTTTTTAACTCTACATTTTACTCACTGGCCTATACTAATTAGAATTAGGTTGGGATAGTTTAGGAGATTTGGGGCACTGCAGTGGTTATCAATCTTATCCCTTGGGAGGTAAAACTAAGGCAAGGAGTGTATTTTGGGGAACCTTTCAGAAGGCTCTGGAAGGAAATAGCCACTCCTGTGTCCAGTTCCCATTACTCTCTTCTCCAGCATCTAGAAAGTTCATGACCCCACGGGGCCAGTCCAGTGTGTTCCATATCTTCAGCCCGTACTGAACATTACTTCCAGCCCTGGGTCAGGACAGGCTCTCCTGACGCAGACGCAGTGCCCTTTCATCTGCTATGTGCATCAGTTCTGTTCCTCGGGTGGGTTTTTCTGGGTGTGGAGTGGATTTCACTTTTTCTTGCTTTTATGTTCCTCAAATGTTTGTTGATTTTTGGTTGTCAGTTTATAAGCAAGGATCTGGTTTTGCTAATGAGACTGCCTGTCCCAGCCCTGGTGAGATCGTTTAAGCACACACTGAGTTTTGCCTTGAGTGTGCCACAGCTTATGGGAGGTGTGTGTAAGTGGCCTATCTTCTAGGCAGTGACTCACTGTCTTGTACCCTGGCCATAAATGACCTGGGACACTGCCCTGCCTTGCCCTGAGGCTGCCATTGGAGTCTCTTAGGTGGGAAGTTCCAGTCCTCTGAAGTTACTTGTGATTGCCTCCTCTGGGACCCACTTCTGGCCACAAGCATCTCATACAGCCTCATGGATACCATCCCATCTGCTGGCTTTAGGACTGTGGCCCCTGAATTCTGTGCAGCTTCCTGGGCAGTCATTTTTTCTTCTTTATAGTGTTGGGGATTGAACCCAGGGCCTCGCACCTGCTAGGCAAGCGTTTTACCACTGAGCCTTACCCTTAACCCCAATAATCTTTTTATCTGACAGAAATGCTTAACTGGGTGCTTAACTCCCGGGGACATTCCTTGTCACTTTTCTAGATGTAGGGTTGTTTTCCATTTATTTGTGATCAATTAGTTGTGAACGCCAATGCGCTCAGACCAGCCTCTCTGTTTCTTTGTAAATGAGAAAGAACTTCTTTTATTATGACAGAAGCATTCGTGTTCATTGTTGGAAAATGAGAAAATAACACATAAAGCAGCTAAAATAAAATTATTCATAAAATACTACTGGTAGGTTTTTTTTTCCTTTTGTTTTCCAAGTAGAAAAGAGATTTATTGGGAGGATAAGGTAGCTTGCAGAAAGCATAGGAAGGCTGGCATCAGACTCGGAAAATCGCGTGGGCTTGTTTTGATTTGTAAATGCTAACATCACTGGAAGAGAGGGAAGGTGAGTGGTTTGTCAGTACTTTGAACTGAACGTTGAAAGCTTTTCTTTTTTTCATTAGCTGCTTAAAAGAATTATATGAACCGCTGCTGTTTGTTACTTTTCTCAACAAATAGCTTCTTGTACTTTGTAGGGTTGATTTTATTTTGTTTGTTTTCTTTTTTTGTGGGACTGGACTGGGGTTTGAACTCAGGTCTCTGTGCTTGCAAAGCAGGCACTCTACTGCTTAAACCACATCTCCAGCCCATTTTGCTCCGGTTTGTTTGGAGCTGGGGTCTCATGAACTATTTGCTTAGCTTGCCTTGAACCACAGTCCTCCCACGTAGCTAGGATTACAAGTGTGAGCCACTGGTTCATGACTGTTACTTGCAGTTACTTTTAAAACACTTCTATCTAGACATTTGGGGACCACCAGGTAGAGTACTACCTTACTCTATGAGGGCCACACCTGCCAGTCTGGTGGCCACTGACACTTGAGATATGCCTGGTCTGAGTTGAGATGAGCTAAGCTGAAAGTACCAACCTAATTTCAGAGACTAGTTTGAAAAAGACAATGTAAAGCATTGTTCGTAATTCTTATATTGATTGTATGTAGATATAATATTTTGGATGTATTTGTTTATTTAACCTGTTTTTTTTAATGTGGCTACTAGAAAATTTTGAATTACGTATGTGACTAATTACAGATTTTAAATTATGTAATTTCAAATGACACTTGTAGCTTGAGTTGTTTCTACTGGATAGTGGTGTACTAAACCCTGAACTCCCTTCAGTAAATGGGATACAGTGGAGGTAAAGACTCCTGAAGTGACTGGCTGTCTGTTTTTTCCACAAGTCCATTACCAGTCACCCTTGGCCAGTTTCCTATGTCTACAGAGAAAAGTTCAGAAGCTTTTCATCAGGCATGGAGGAAAATTGCTGTCTTAAAATTTCCTTGAAATAAAATTCATGGCTTTTCAAAATTGAATAATTGGGAACATTTCTAAATTGATTATCTTTGAAAAATGTCTTTTATTTATTTATTTATTTTTAGATGTCCTTAAACACCCTGGGTAGCTTCTCAGACTTTATATTCTGTGTCTTATTGCCTAGTGAGAAGAGCTTTCTTGATCAGTCTAATGTCGGGAATGACTGTCTGAGTGATTGGGTAATTCTGTACAGGTCGTGTCCAGTTAGGTGCCTTAAAAACACAGAGTCCTTTACAATTTGAGCTCTTACAGTCAAGTTGAAAGAAGACATAATTACTATTGTTCCTTTCTCCCCCCATTTTGTGAAATGGGGTCCCAGTAGGTTGTAAAACAACTATACCCAACTTTGTGTAAAGCTTTTATTTGTACCAAGGTTTTTGAGTAATTTCTCCTTTTCCCTTCTATTCCTGATATCCTTGTTTTTGTTTGTTTTAGAGAGCCTTGCTTCCCAAATTCCTCATTAGAGGACATCTTAACTCAACTAACTGTGCTATCACACAGCCACTGACAGGAGAACTGGTTGTAGAGCACTCAGATGCTGCCATTCGAAGCATAGAGCTTCAGCTGGTCCGTGTGGAGACCTGTGGTAAGGCCTTTGGAGGCTGCAGGAGGCCTGAGCCTCTGCCAGTTGCCCTTGTGTGGTCAGCAGTTAACATGATGTGGGAGGATGCTGAATAACAGTGTGTCTGTTGCTAGAACAAAACACCTGAGACTAGGTAATCTACAAATAATAAAGTTTTATTTGGTTTATGGTACTAGAGGCTGAGAAGTCTGAGAACATGGCTCCAGCATCTGGCAGGAGCCTTCCTGCAGCATCCTAAGATGGTGGAGGGCATTAGGTAGCAAGACAGAGCAAATGGGCCAGAGAACTGATTTACCACAAAGCTGCTCCCTGCATAACCCATTAAGCCATGTCCATTCATGAGGGCAGAGCTCTCATGACCCAGTCACCCCAAAAGCCCTGCCTCCAAATGTCACTGATACATTAATTTGGGGATTAAGTTTCTAGCACATAAAATGTGGGGACACATATTCCACCAGTGCAGTATGCTTGAGGAAAACGAAATGTGGAAGGGAAGGGAACCGTCCAGAATCTTGAAGAACAAAACGGAGAAGTAGGTGAGCATGTTGATGCAGGTTGGCAGTGTTGAAAAGAATCTTGTCGATCAGTTCACTTGGACAGTTGCTGTGCCCTCACCCGGCATTTCCTCCCTTCCCAGGGTGTGCGGAAGGCTATGCCCGTGATGCTACAGAGATTCAGAATATTCAAATTGCTGATGGGGATGTCTGTAGGAGCCTCTCTGTCCCTATATACATGGTCTTCCCCAGGCTGTTCACCTGCCCCACACTGGAGACCACCAACTTCAAAGTGGGTAAGTGGCGTTCACTCAGCTCCTGGCCACAGGGATTCTGGGAAGGGCATGACCCCTGGGATCTGCTGGGATGACATGGCTCAGGCCTTGTGTCACTCAACAAAACCTCACTGAGAAGCTGCTGTGCTGACACAGAGGTCACAGCATTGAGTAGCTGTGGCTCTTGTGGAGCATAAGTCATTACACAGGGACATATAAGTAAAGAGGTCCCTTTATATCAGGGCAGGTGACACTAAGCTCTGTGAAGAAAATGGGCTTGAATGAGAGCAAGGAAGCAGTGGAGTGGTATAGATGGGAGGTTACGGGAAGATTCCTGAGGAGATAACAAGCAGAGACACCAAGAAGGCTCCAGTTCAGGATGTCTGGTCATTTTCCAAGATTCTTTCTGTGCATATTTGACCACAGATCTGAATGATAGCCCAGACACTTTTCTACCCTGCTGCTTTTCCTTAACATTTTCCATGAACATGTGTGATTTTAGGTCTTTGGTTTGGTTTGGGGAATGGTTTTGAGATGGGTCTTGCTATGGGGTCTGAATGGTCTAGAACTCCTGGACTCAAGTAATCCAGCTGCCTCAGCCTCCTGAGGAACTGGGACTACAGGCCAACACCAGCTGTCTTGTTAATGAATTGTCATTATCTTAACCTACCTACAGAGAAGGGGACAGAGGCACAGCAGGTGGAAGCACCACAGAGAGATCATTCCCCGGGTTTTCCTGGGACAGTTTCTGAGCCATTCCTGAGGTTCACTGGTGCATATATGTGATGAGGGGATTTTGGTAATTGCTTCTACTACTATAGTGCTTCACTGAGAAATGGAACTTATACCTAAAGCTGATATGTTTTTATTAATATTATAGTCCCCCTAAATCTTAGAATGTGCATTATCAGTAATCGAGTGAGAATCTGTGGATTTAAAAACAATTACACCCTGTGTTTACTTTAAATTGTCCCCAGTAATGCAATTCAAAACATAAGTGCAGTATCCTCACCAAACCTTATTATGTGCAAGGGAAGCCTTGCCATACCTGCCACTGAGTCACTGAGCACTTCTTTGTGTCTCCTGTTTGTCTGTGCTGTGACCATGAGTCCCAGAGCACCACTGGCCCAGTGGGGTTAGGAGTACAAGTTAACACTTGTGGAGTTTCTGTGTTCTTCTGTGAGAGCCTGATGAAGCCATGGCATTGGGCCAGTAAACAAGACAGCAGACTCCACTGCCTGCCAGACACACAGGACACAGAAGTCATGGAAAGACCCTTGCAGGATCAGACTTGACCCGCAAGGGTCTTGAAAACTACATTCATGATTATTATCAAAAATGTAGTATATCCTCATGTATTTAGTCCACAGGGACCAGGGGCTTCAAGTGCAGAGTACATTTCCTCTCTTACAGCCCAGCTTCCATTCCCAAAGGTGGCCTCCCTCCCGGCCCTGGGTGTGTCCTCCTACCTCTGCTCCCCTTGGTGACAAGTGTCAGGCAGGTTTTCCTTTTATCCTCCATACTATGTATGTGATTCTGAAGAGTGTGTTCTTTGCTTCAGAAGTACTTTTAAGTTGAGGAGGGATCTCAGCTTCTGTAGAAATCAGACAAGGAAAGTGTGGCTGGCTACACCTGATCATTTACTGTTCTAGATAGCAAGACAGAACTTTACTGTGAAAGAGCTTACAAAGGTAGTCATATTAGTATGGTGGTCTTCGCTGGTTTACTGGAAGTGCAGAGTGACACTACAGACTGTGATGTCTGGATGTTCCCTCACTGTCAGACTTTGCCATGCCTGTGGTGTTGCTGGCATTTGGCTTCTGCTCAGTGCAAGTGTTTATAAGCCCTCTCTCTTCTCTTCACAGAATTTGAGATTAACGTTGTTGTGCTGCTTCACGCTGACCATCTCATCACTGAGAACTTCCCACTGAAGCTCTGCCGGACATAGCCCAAGAGCAGGCATGGCAGACCAGCACAGTGGCCAGGTGCAAGTCTTGCTGGTTGTCTGACTCGTACAGGGAATTCAAGGCTGGCAGCATTTACTATTTTCATGATTCTTCTGTGTCAGAAATGAATGTACCTCCTCAGTTGACAGCAGTTCTTGCTCATTTCCTCCAAGTCTCTGCTTCCTGCAGGTGCCTTGTGGTAGCCCTCTTTGGAGTGCAACAAGATTTTTTCATGCTTGTTGTAAGAACACATCACAGAAAACATTTCTGAGGTCTCCTGACTGACCGTTCCTTTTTAGGTTCGGTAAAGCAATGTGTCTGCAGTTTGAGCTTTTCTGGAGAGTGAGATCATGGAGACCGAAGGGAAGTCCTCTTCAGTTTGCTGATGGAGATGACCAAGGACTCCTGACAGCAAAAGGTCCTGGCAGGTGTCATCTGGATGGCGCCCAGCATACTTGTTGCTTTTGAGTTTGTGGATTCCCTTCAGGGAGAGTGCCACGTGACACCTGCTGGAAATGTATAGCTTTTTTTATAGTCTGTAGTTCTTCCTAACATTTCCACTGTAACTTCAGACTTTTTAAGGAACTGGAACAAAGTGTTCCTTGCTCTCACAGGGGTAAGGGGATTTGGTAATGATGGGACTGTTAGTTAAATCTCCAGATCTGGCATAAAATCTCATGCTGCCCTGTTCCCAGAATATACTTTAAATGCAAGGTTATGTAAACAGGAGAATGCATATTTGCTGCTCTTATTATTGAACGGGTTCTGAATGGCAGGAGACCATGCCCAAGAAGGGTGGGCACTCAGAGTGGTGCCAGGAAAATGTCTTTGGCCTGCCCCAACACTGAAGGCACCTGTGCTTTGAACCAGGCGCTTTGGTCTGAAGCCAGTTTTCCTTCAGCTTCGCACTAGAGTTTCAGTGTGTGCTGAATCTGTTGCAATACATCACATCCTTCAAATCTTGCCATTGTTTTGTTGGTCCACAATTAATGAAACCTCAGAAAGAAACATCTCAATGTGCACACTAGCTGGCCTTCCTGTGTAGGTCCTTCTCATGGGCAGGCCTGGGCAAGGCAGGCTCAGGCCGAAGGCTTCCTGGACTGTACTCCCATGGTCCAGTACCAAAGCTGAGTGCAGATAAACCTGACCCAGGCCTGCTCTACCTGGAGTTTCCCCAGAGGAATTGATCAACTTAACTGAGTCATCAGAAAGGTGGTTCCCAGAGAACACCTTTCTGGTTTGTAAATCTTTTATGCCCTCCTTATGTTTTTAAACTGAATAGCTGAAATAGAGGTCATACTTTCTGGTAAATTTGTAAGAAAGGAATCATTTTTAATGAAATAAAAAATTTTAATGAAAAAAGCTAAGAATTTTGAGGAAAGGTTTGAGCTCTGTATTGCTATACAGTTTCCTTAGCACCACACATGAACACGTGGGGTGGGTACTCTTCTTAGGGAGAGCTGCCAGCCAGCCCAGCTGCCTCTATAATTTCACTCAGTCCCGAGTGGCCCAGATGAGGGCCTCACGCTGGCCATTTCCTTCCTCTTCTTGACCTGTGCCCTAGCAGTTATTAAAGAAAACTCGGATGTTTGGCTGTCCCGGGTGGCACTGACCAGGATGTTTGGAGTTAAAGGTATCTGCTGTACAAGATTCAGAGTGGTCGGATTTGTCCGGTTAGATCAAGAGCAAGGAAAGGAAGGGGAGTTGAGCTGTGAAAGGTGACTCTAAAACAATGTTATTTGCCAATTTGGGCAGGCACCGCACTTTGGCTGTCAGTTCTGCTTGCTCAGGCAGAAATGGGGCTGGGCTCGAACTCCCAAGAGTGAAAGGTGGTCCACCTCTCTGTGGCGCTGAGGGTCACTTGGAGAGGGGCGTGGCCGCGCCTGCGCAGGAAGGCGCCCGGGTGGGGGCGGGGACCCGGGCCGCAGTGCTCGAGGCGCCCCTGGGCCTCGCCAGAACCGTGGTGCGGGAGCGGGGGGCGCCCGGCCTGGGGTCCTGTTGCTCACTGTCGAGGCGTTGGACGGTCAGTTACGGGTTTCCCAGACGCACTGCCCCCTCGGTACTTGCTGGCGTTTTGGGAGCAGGGCTGCAGTGAGCGCTTGAGGCTCAGGCCTCCAGCCGTGGGCTCGCGCGAAGGAGGCGAGCTGTGATTGTGGCTCTGACCTTTGTAAGTGCTGTGCGTGCTTTACTTAATTGCTATAGCAATTGAATAAGGACATTATTATCCCCGTTTACAGGTTGGGGATTGTAGTTTGGGGAAAGGAATCCATTTTGCCAAGGCCCCCATCCTAGGGGAGCTCCATTTGACATGGAGCAAGTTCACCTGCTCTGAAGCCTGCTCCCCTCTCACCTTGCTCCATTTGGGTCTTACCGAGGCAGTAGCGTGTTTTTCTGCCTTGTTTATGCATCACGTTATTGGTTCTGTCACCCACGTCAAAGGAGCCAAGGGCTCTGCTTCCTTTGCTCATGGTTCTAATCGCCTCGGTTTTGATCAACTGAGTCAAGTGAAAAATGAAGCCTCCAAACTTAAGAACTCATTTGCAACTGGACCTGGAATGAGGGCCAGTGATTAAAGGGCCAGCAAGTCCAAGCCAAATCACATACTGGTCCTAACCTCTTTTAGATAGAGTAGAAATACACAAATATGTCCTAGATCCATTCAGAGCACAAAGTACGTGTGCCTTAGTCACCTCAGCATAAGGGGTTGACAGTTGGGGGTGATTATTCCCACCACATGTCACAGCTTGTGCAAGAAGCTGTGACCTGCCTAAGCTATGTAGCTCTGGTCCAGTGTGTCCCCCAAACTATCCCAACTTAACAAGCAAGAAAGAACGAGGTAGCCGCTGCCTCTGTGTGGATATGATCTCGCTCGTGGGCACGTCGTCAGTACCTCATGAGCCACACAGCTGAAGCTGTTCTTCGCAACTTCACGTAACTTCACGCTGTTTTTTTAAAAGGTACAATGCATTTTTATGCAAAGGAAACTATTTTTTTTTGCATAAAACGCTCTGTGAAAGCGAGGCCTTCTCTTGAATACACCGTTCTGTGGTCCTATGAAAACTAGCCACTGTAGGAGGGGGAGCAACACACATGTGGGGTTAAGAGCTGAGGTGAGAGAGCCTCCTGGGTCCATGTCTTCTCCACTCTAACCGCCAGAAGCTGTTCAGATTTGAGACTGTGGCTTCACGAAGAAACAAAAGGGCACTTAATTTGTAGAAGCACCAATTGTTGGAGTGTACCATTTCTTTTTTTCTTTTTTTTTTTTTTGGTGGTGGTGGTACTGGGGTTTGAACTCACGGTCTCACACATGCTAGGCAGGTGCTCTACCACTTGAGCCACCCCTCCAGCCCTTTCTATGTTGGTTATTTTTGAGATAGGTCTCACATTTACGCCCAGGCCAGCCTGGGCCACAGTTCTATTTGTGCTTCCCCTAGTAGCTGGAATCACAGGTGCTCTCCAGTGTGCCGAGCCATTCCTTGAGAAGGGGTCTCAAGAATCTTTTTTGCCCAGACTGACTTAGCACCACTATCCTTCCAGTTTCTGCCTCCCAAATAGCTAAGATTATAGGCATGAGTCATTGCACCTTGAGAAGGGGGAAAGGCTAGCAGGAATTAAAACACAGTAAGGATCCATGGTACTCTATTATGTTCTTCTGTGACTGTCACTGGTAAAGTGGGAGTGGCTCAGAACCCCAGCCACATCAGCAGAATTCTGACTCTGGGGATTTTCTGTTTTTGTTTGTTTTGGTGGTACTGGAGTTTGAACTCGGCCTCATGCTTGCTAGACAGGCTCCCTATCACTTGAGCCACTCTGCCAGCCCAACTCTGGGGTTTTTCAAACCAAACCTAGGTGTCCCTCTAAACCTTTGCATATGACACACAGAAAGTCATGTGGAGATTGGAAGTATGTAGGGAAGTGCAAAGGCACAGTTTGTGCCTGGGTCTCTAAGATGTCTGATTCTGGGGAGCAACTGCTTGACCAAGACCCAGGGTGTGGGTGACACCAGAAGGTTTGGTTGCCTGTGATTGGCACCAACTGTCATTTCCCCAAAGATGCCTTAACAAACATCCAGCTGAGCAGGAGGCTGTGTGAAGGCTTATGGAGGAGGCAGCTCCAGAGAGAATTACTGAGAGGCGCTGTTTGCCCATTAGATGGGAAGCAGTCGCTTCCTTTCTCGGGGGCTGCTGTCAAGCACTAGATGTTTGACAGCCACAATGTCTGGTCTGGGAATGGGACCAGCTTTTCTGTGTGCAGATGACTAGCCATTGGCATAGCCACCTGGGGAGGCTGGGCCGGCAGCCCATATATGTTGCTACATGATACACTCACAGGTAGCCATGGAAAGGTGGCAGAAAAGAGCAGAAGGCTAACGTTTTTGGTTTTGGTTTTGATTTTTGTGATACTGAGTTTTAATTCAAGGCCTCACGCTTGCTAGGCAGGCCCTCTGCCACTTGAGCAACTTGGTCAGCCCCTTTTTGTGTTAGTTATTTCCAAGATAGGGTCTTATGAACTACTTGCCTGAGCTGGCTTCAAACCACGATCCTCCTGACCTCTGCCTCCTGAGTAGCTGGGATTATGGGGTGAGCCACTAGCACCTGGCAAGACTGAGCATTTTTGTTTTAAGACATTTTTCCATATCAGTGTGTATTAAGAAAACTAAAATTCAAAAGCCAAATTTAAACTTCTATACATAAAAAAGAAGAGACAAGTTAGGAATATATTTTCACCACTCTGTTCCTTTAAATCTTACAGAAATGACATACTCTTTAAATCCATGAAAATTTTGTAAAACTCAATAGCACATTCTTGCCACAAAGAAAATATCAAAATTTTAATATAAATTTCCCAAGCTACCCACTCTATAGGGCAATAAAACTAGAAATTACTACCAAAAGGAAAATCAAATTTCATTTGATCACTTCAAAATTTTATAACATTTTTCAAAGAAAAGCTAAAAGTTTTAAATATAATGAAAATATATATTCCAAATGAAAATGTATATACCAAAAGCTTTGCAATATGGCCAGTGCTGCAATCAGAGGAAAATTCATAGCCATAAATGTTTTTATTATTGCACCAGAGAATAAAACTAATGAGTTAGACATTCTAATTAAAATTCTAGGAAAATAGGGCTGGCGAAGTGGCTCAAGTAGTACAGTACCTGTCTAGCAAGTCTGAGGCCCCGAGATCAAACCCCAGTACTGCAAAAAAAAAAAAATTACAAACCTCAATAAAACACAAAGTGACTCTAGAATAAAGTGACAACCTATAGAAGAAGCACTAATAAGATGGCAGGTCCATGTGGTTTACAGCAGGTTTCTGTCAAACCAGCAAGGATCAAATTGTCCCTCACTGTTTGCACCACAGTAGGCTATAGAGAGAGATGAAAAGCCTCCCAGTTATCTTGTGAAGCCCTAATACCAAAACCCGTTCCGTCAGGATCAGGCTAACCTGCGAGTAGGAAGGACCCAAAGTAAGTGGCCTGAAAAAGCCTAATGTTTTAGTGACTCATACAAAAACCGACAGGTAAGTAGTCTAGGGCTGGGATGACAGCAGAGTCGTGAAGTCCTTGGTGACCCAGGCTACTTCCAGCTCAGTGTGCCACCTTGTCATTATGGTCTAGGAGAGTAGCAGCTAGTTCTAGCTGTCACGTCTGCGTTCCAGGCAGCAGGACCTGGGAAGCAATGAAGGCAAGTGAAAGGCAGGTGTCAGCTCTATTAAGGAAGGAGTCAGATGTTGCCCTGTGACACTCCTGTCTGTATCTTACAATCAAGAACTTACGTGATACACATACCTGTCTATGAAGAAAGTTTTCTGTGTGGTCTTGTGCCTAAAAAACCTAGTTCTAGAAGAAGAGGGAAACAACCTCAGCAGCACCACGATGGTGACAAAAAGAAGAACCCACAAACCTAAGTCACTGAGTAACGTGATGACAAAACCGCATTGAGTCGAGTCTCAGTGTGTTCAGAGACCATTCTATCGCGACCCAGATGGGAGGCTTATTTCAGGTGTGCAGGTCCGTTCCACACTAGAAGTCTGCTGACACGCCTCCTCCCGCTAGCGAGTTAAAGGCGATGCACACACGCATCAGTGGATGCTGCTATCTTACATTCTTTAAGCTTATTTTCATGCCTCAGACATACACAGAGGGAAAATTACACATGTCATGCCCAAACAGCATCTGTTGTTTGTTAACATCTTTATTGAGATATAATTTACAGATCACAAAATTCTCCTACTTAAATGTACAATTCCTGGTTTTTAGTATTTTCACAGAATTACCCATACATATTCCAAACTAACTTGAAAGCATTTTTCACACAAAAAAGGAAGCACATCAGCAATCAGTCCCAATCCTTCTCCTTTGAGCACGAAACAACCACCAATTTGCTGTTTCCATAGGTCTGCTCATTCTGGACGTTTCCTGTGAATAAAGTCGTGTAGTCCTTGTGACTGGATTCTTTGACTTGACATAATGTATTTAAAGTTCCTCCATGCTGCGATGTGTGTAGGACCTCACTACTTTTTATTGCCCCAAGATGTTCCATGTAGAGAGATGCCACACTGTTTATTCATTCATCAGTTGACAGACATTTGTCTTGCTTCCCCTTTTGGCCATTAAGAAAACTGCAATTAGGAGCATTCATGTACAAGTTTTTAATGTGAACATGTTTTTATTTTTCTTAGCTGTCCACCTAAGAGAATTTCCGGGTCACATAGTGACTCCACCTTCAACTGTGAGTAACTGCCAAAATGTTTTCCAAAGCATCTGCTCCATTTTATATCCCATCAGCAACGTACAAGGATTCAGTTTCTCCATATCTCATCACCATTGTTACTGTCCATCTTTTTATTTTTATTGTTTATTATTGTTTATTTTTTCCACTTAAGCTAATCTTGTATTAGATACAAACATTGCAAAAAAAGACACAAAATTATCATTAGTAGTAGATAATATGTTTGAAAACATGGAAGCCCAAGAAAATTAACCATTATAGCTAAAAACAAACAATTATTATAACTATAAGGGCAATTAAATGAGATAGCTATAGTGTAGCTCTACAAAGTGAATAACTTTCCAAAAAATAGAGACCTCATCAGATTCCATTCACAATAGAGATAATAATAAAATACAAGGAATGTTTCAACAAATCTGTTAATAAGACATTTGCAAAACCTATTTGAAGAAATCTGTAAAATATTACTTAGGA